GGCATATATTTGTTCATTTTGCAGCTGCTTTTTACGATTTGCAGTAAGGCCGAAAACTTTTTTTTTGGAAACGGACGAAAATTCTTCCGCATGTGGACCTGGGTGCTGTCGCGCGACATAGAGGACAAGATAAACTCTTTTGCTACATCTTGCCTCAGAATCATGTTGAACATTAAGCGCACAGACCATGTAAGCAACAACCAAATATACAAAACCACGAACACACAGCCTCTCATCATCAGAGTGAGACAACGGCAACTGCGCTTTATCGGACATGCCCTCAGGATGCCTGTAGAGGAACCACTCAGGACTTATGCCCTCTACGTTCCGCCCCACGGCAGAAGGCGTCCTGGACGCCAGAGGGCAAACTATCTGACTTACATCCAGAACCTGCTGGGGGATACGGAAGGTGACCTGAGCCCTGACAGGATTGCCGCGCTGGCTGCTGACCGACGTACGTGGAATGGACTTGTGATCGCCTGCTCCGCAGCCGTCCGATGATGATGATGATGATGTGGATGTCATCCTGTGACATCCATATGATCAAATCAACATGCGGTAACTTAAAGGCATTCCCGGGTACATCCGTTTACAATGTTATGAAACAGTAATAGGCGATGAATGTGTCGCCTTTCGGACAGAGTCTCCCAGCCGAGCTCTTAATTTTAAAGAGCATTTTACGGCACCAGACACTACGAGGAAGCAAGTCCGATTGTGACGGTGGGAGATGGTGGCCAGTAACTGCAGTACCGTTTCCTGTCACTGCGGCGTTTCCTTATAGTCGACTGCAGGCATTTGTGATGGCGGATGGAAACTTTATTCACATGGAAATGTCTAAAAATAATATAAGGACGATTGTTTAAGATGTGAATTCAGAACTAATATGCGGTCAAGCATCATATCTATGTATGAAATTACCTCAGATTGGGTCTTCTGCTGCCCATCGGGCCGCTCTTTTTTTCCAGTTTTATATCCGATTTTATTCCCCTTTATTCGCTAGATATAAGCAAGGACATTATGTCCTTGATATAAGTAACTCGCCAAATAAACAAAAAAAACTATTCCTTGTTTGTACAAATTACCACACGTTTGATTGTGACTCTCTTTTATTCATATCACATAAAGCTCGACATTTCGAAATTCGACATTCAATAGGGCTGTAACATACACTGCACATCGAATACATTTCGCTAGATCAGATGGCGCAACTACACAGTGAAGAGAACCAAAGGACGACGAATACTAATATATAACTTTGCATTATCATCTGCATTATCGTCATGATTAAGACTGACCCTGTCAAACACTATGGCAAACTTGGATGGGCATTAGATAATGTTAAGATGCAGACAGTGTATTCAGTTTAAACACCAGAAGACTTGATGAATTGATATGGAAAACGGATCCTCTTTAATAGATCTTTAATACACCGAATGTTTCTGCACATTCCACTGAACTGTTATCAAACACTTTTGTTTCGAGACCAACAATTCGGAACATTCACATACTTGTGATCGTGTAATGAAGAAATTCAAATGTCAAGCAAATATGTCTAATAGAGGTAATCAGCTGATATAAAGGTTCACTGACTAGTAATGATTCCAACATGTACCCAAACCCACTTGTGTATGGCACAAATGTTTACTTACTTTTATTTCATTTGATATAAATAATGGCCGCAAAACATTTGCTTTTGTAAAAGGGAGAAAGTCATCGAGCAAATTTCGACAGAGTCTAACACAATACAAAAGAGCCATACCTGTGAGGATGTCAGAGATAAAATTCACTTGCTGTGGCCTTACATACAGCAACAAACCTTATAGCAACACTAGTACTCCATATTGCACACTGTTTTCGTTCCAATTAATCAACACTTAACATTTAACACACACACACACATATATAATACGTACATTATCTTATATCTTGTAGTATATACATGTGTCTTAATACTAGCCAGAGCAAGCTAAAAGTAAACATGAGTTAATGGCATCTCTGTTGAACAAAGTAGCCATATTCAGCATTAATAGACAGGCTACAAACTCCTTGTCCTGTTTTGTTGGTGAATGACACATTTTTATTCTCTGTCATGTAAAAGGTATAATTATGATATAACCACTCATCATCATCTTAGATATTACATGTATAATGATCTCATGTAAATATATGTGAAGTTCAAGGGGTCACATACTGTATTAGGTAAGTTATACACATATCCATATGCTACTCTCCAAGCAGAGGTTTGGGGTTTGGCTTATTTTTTGAATATTTTTATAGGCTTTTTTATCAGACTTTCTTTTTTGCAGGCTCAGGTTGGGGGCATGCTTCCTCTGGGAAACTTTTGGATTTTCAAGCCTTCAAAGACACAATTTCCTGCATTTTGAGTCAGGCAAATCATGATGTTGAGAGTGATCGTTGGTGGTCCTTTGGATGTCTTGGGTTGATATTTTTACCCAAGATTTTGTTAATATTGTCTGTCTAGGTTGGATTGATTTTAAAAAATTGTCTGTCACACACTGAAAAAGTTCAGGAAAAATTGGTGCTGGCTAGAGCCCTAAGTTGAACAGGCAAAAAAACATTTTCCCACTTTTTCCATCTTACACCACGGCTGGGATGTGTACCTGTACGCTGTACCGATACTGTACCGGAAAAATTGATTAGGTACAGGTCCAAAATACCTAATCCCTCAGTACCTGTACTTGTACCTGTACAGAGTTACACTAATTATATGCTTATCTGTGACCTAAAATAGGGAAATAGCTGGTCCCCCATGGGTCCCAGAGACAGGACTGTGTGTTTGTGTTACACACTGACAGTGTTAAACATGCTGAAAGATCTGTTGCATATTAGTTATGCTCCCTCTAGATGTCACTTTGGTCAGTTTGAGTTGCATGAGGCCACTTGGTAGGAGATGAAAACAAAAACATCTTAGTTATATTTCAGTCCATACCATATGGAGGGTAAGTTTGGAATAGTCCACTTTTGTGTGGGAGGAAGATGGACTGAAATATGCTGTATTTGCTCCCAAGCAAATGTCGGCCTTTCTAGTTTGTTACTGTTTTTCTCGTTGTTGAAGGAGTTCAAAAGAGCATGTTAATTGGTGAAATTGTTTAGGTACAGGTTCAGGTTCGGACCTGTACCTGATCCTTTGTACCTGTACCTGATGTAACGTTTAGGTACACATCCCTACACCACGGCTGTGTTGTTATTTTTGTTGTTCTTGTTGGGCTGTGAGTAGGCGGAGTTGGACCCGTCGGCCGGGCGCTGAAACATGAACCAGATCCACTCCACAAAGAACACCACCATGGCACCCCCCATCCCCATCACCAGGAAGTAGAACAGCCCACCAAAGTTGTCCATTCCCAGAACACCTTGACTCTTGGCCTTGTCAGACTTGCAGTGGTCCTTCTTCTTGTTGAACCACCTGTTGGATTAAAAGACAGTTTGATTTGAGTTGAGTTGAGACAGTTTTTTGGGGGTAGCAAAATTTTGCGGTCTAAGAAAAATGTAGATGATCAAGTTACTATATGTATGCAGTGGTGGCAGGTGCAGAAGAAAGAAAGTCAGCAAATCATTTGTTTGCGGTAAGGATAAATTTGTGGTGCAGAAGTGGTCGCGAAAACTGCAAAATATATAAAGTGAGTTAACATTACAGTTACTGTATCATACCAAAGATGTATATAGGTGTCATACATGTACATAATATGAATGGGCAAGCTCTAGCGATATATATGACGCTCAGCCATATAACTGATCCTTTTTATTTTCAGAGACAATCTTCCTGGCTATGTATTCCCACTCAAAATCTACGTAATAAAAGGTAATTTTCTGAAACTACATCTAAAACTATGTCTGAGGGGTTTGATTTCTCTTTTGTAAACCATGAAAGATGTAATGTCCCACCTTTTCCAAAATTTGTGGGTTTTGGGTAGTTAAAAGAAGAGTACCATCCCCCACACTGACTCAAAAGCAACAGTTAGACGATGATGACAAACCTGTTCTCCAGAAGGTCCATCTCTCCATCCTGAGCCATGTGCATCAGGGCCAGGTTGACCTCTGGCACGTACGGTGACTCCAGCGGGAACGGAAGTGCCACCTGAAACTTGAAGAAGTAGTCGCTGGACAGGATGACCATGTCGCACCTCTCTTTAAGGATCTCGTACTCGTAGGTGGTGGGTGAGATGAAGATGTAGTCACCCTTGATAGCCCGGTCCATGGCCTGACGGGAATCGGCTGTCAGAACCTGGTCTGTTATCACAACAATACACGGGTTAGAATGAAAGCTCATCTGTGTTCAATATTAGTAGTTAAAAGTTCAAGCTTTGTTCCATTACACAAGAAAGGAACTAACCATAGATTTTCGGTCAATCTCATCAACCTTCGTCAGATGTGTGATGCAATTTCTGAATCTCCAAAAGCTAAGCAATGCGCTCCTGACGTCATCACGTTTCCAACTTCTGGAGAGTCAGCAAGTGCATCACACATCTGACGAAAGTTGATGAGATTGACCGCAAATTTATGGTTTTTTATGGAGTTCATTAATTGTGTTGGAAAAAAGCTTAAACTTTACAACAATACACATGTTAGTGACATTCTCACTGCCTTTAAGACAAGATATCATTATACTGCATTCAGTTTATTGTTCAGGCAAATCTACAGAATCTGTATGAATGGTTTATTGAGGTTAAAATCACTCGCAGCCATTTCGCTGAATTGTGGATTTCATTACAATACTTTCTAAAAGCCAGTAGTTACAGTAGTATTTACAACAAACATGATATAACACAAGTCATTTTCCTCAATATTTAATATTCAGGTGGTTTTGTTCACTTTCACTGGTATGACAAGTATGTAAGTTCAGGTTCTTATTGACCTAGATGTCTAGATGCTTTAGCTGTCTACCTATAATCTCCAAGCAGATGTTTCCGCAGCCGCAAAAGACTGTAAAAATTGGCCAGGCAGTATCCGTTGGCCATCTATGTGGCAAATGGATACAATCTGGCCAATGAATACTGCCTGGCCAATTTGATACAGTCTTTTACGGTCACCGAAACATCTGCTTGGAGATTGGACTACCTATACCTTCCTAAGTGCCTTAAGGACTGGAGCTTAATGCCCCTTGCTCCCCTGCACTACACCATACAAAAGAACACCATCGAAATTCTTCTGGAAAACTTTTTTAATAGATGAAGGGCAGGTTATTCATCCATGGGAATACCTGCCCCTCAATGCAATGTACGAAGTAAATATGATGATCATATTTAAGCGAGGTAAAAGACTTACCTGCATTCTCAGTGAGGTATCTTCCAATGGTCTTGTATGGCTCCTCCTTGGACTTCTTGAAAAATGACACGATACTGTAATGCTTATAGGTCCCGTAAGGAACGTCTTCCTGTTCAGCAAGGTCAAACAGGGTCTTGATCTCCTGCTGAACAGAGGCCTGTGACAGGAAGGCCGCCAAGTTGGCTGAAAGAAAACACACTTTTCCTCAATATCTGCAAAATGGTTTCAAGAACACAGGTATGGGAGGGACCTACTCTGGGCTCACTGACATTATGGTGCTGTCCACGGTGCTGAAAAAAAGGCTGTGATTTCAACATTGTATTCCACTGGAAGGACAATGTTTTATGAAGGCTCAAAAAGTGTATGTGTGTGGATCATGTTGTACGGCCACACCAATTTCATTTGTTGGTTCTCAGATTCGCCCGCTTCATTTTTTTTCTGATTTGTAAAAAAATAAAAACATTTCAGGCTCTGAATCAACTCTGAAATGCTCATATTTTGACCCCAACAGTTGAAGAAAGTCCCTTCTCTTCCCAGTTGCTACAGTTTTCCCATCTATCAATGCAGTGGTTTTATTAAAAGTTTAAAATTCAATGAAGTACAAACCAGCCTGGTAGATTGACTTCATGGCTCCTATCATAGCATTTTGGGCTATCATAGGATGCTTAGGCCTGTTTCTATTTTTATTTTTTTTTTCACCCTGTCGCTTCATATTTTTTTCTGAAAAAATCTGAGAACCAAGAAATCAAATTGGCATGGCCTAAAGTTTATGTTCAACAGTGGAGGATTGATATCTGTATGTTGAGGAGTCCTGATACTTTGTTCCAGAATGACAGAGTCAGTAACGCTCTATGCTAAATTCATGATGATTACCTACAGCTTGCGCTAAAGTAAGGAAGAGGCTGCTACAAGATTTAAAGTTTGCTACTTTGCAACGATTAATGGAAAATCAAAATGGTGGCACAACAACATTTTCACTGCAGCCCAAGAGCACTCAGGGAGGGGTCTACGGTGTTACCTTTTCTAACCACCTATGTAGCTTGACATTGCTAACTTCTTTTTGCATGTCTCGTATCATCGTTACTTTAAACGTTACAATAAGCTTTTCCTTACTTACCTGTGTAAGATGCTATGGCCACAAGCACGAAGAACCACCAGGTCCCGGCAGCCACCCTCCCTGCATAGGACCGAGGCAGGAACTCTGGACCCTGCCCCACAGCTGCACCCCAGGTGGACCTGGATAGAAAACAATTTAAACACATTCAGGCAAACTCAGGGTCATTTCTTCAAGCTGCAAGCCTTTAGTGGTACTTTGAGGTCACAAGTGCCATGTGGGAGACTACATATACCAATTTTTTTGCACAGAACGCAACCTAAGACTTTGTTATCTGACTTTGTTATCTGAATTAAAAGCCTGTTCAAATAAGAATCATATGTGCAAAACTTGTTAGTGTGAGTGCTAGGCTGTATGTAACCCACCAGAGGCTGTTAGGGAGGTTGAGGTTGTTGGCTTGGTCCTGGGAGACAGCTCCCCGTGCTGCCGCGATGCCCCACTCGTTTGGGTTGTAGCGATTGTTGGCGGCCAGCACCAGACTCACAGACACGATGGCAGCCACAAAGCACAGCCAGACCTACAGTCAGATAGATCATACAAAAACTACTGCTATGAACAAAGAACAATCACAGATTGTACAAAACAACTGCTATAAGCAGTTCTACAGATGATCTGAAACTTATTATGAAGAGTTGCAAGGAGCCATGAAGAAGATACTCTTTATTTTTACTTGACTCTTAGTTTTATTTCTGCAAACCATTTTTTAAAACATTGATCATATTCGTTTCCTAATCTCAAAGCAGATCATACGGTGTCAAGGCAGTATCCATTGGCGAGAGGAATGTCCATTTGTCACCAAAGGTATGGACACTCCTCGTGGCCAATGGATATTGTTTTGCCACCATATGATCTGCTTGGAGATTATTCTTACCCTCTTAGAGAAGGGTGCCATGAACTGGAACATGCCGGGGAGACGACGGTCTGACTTCTTCATGGTCAGGAAGTATCCACGTGTGCGCAGAGGGATGGACAGCTGCATCGTTTTCATGCGGCGCGAGCGTATGGACATCGGGAACAACACGAAGTCGTACTGTAACCATCAGAAAGGATAAGAAAAAAATGTTTGTTGATGACTTTTGACAGAGATTGTGCATTGGCACAATATTGCCATAAGGGCTGTCAGTTTTAATCACCTAATTTACGCTGTAGAGACAAATAGTGAAATAAACATCATTTCTTTCATATTTGCACAATATGCAAATCAAGAATTTGGGTCGCCATTTTGTGTTCTAGTTTTGTTAGTTATTTTTTATTTTTATTTTTATTTATTTTTTATTTTATTCACATGGATTTTTGAGCATTGGATAGGAAGCACTTGTGCTTATGTGAATCCACTGCTCATAAAACATAATACAAATGTTAACATAAAGATGACATAAAGTATAACATAAACATAAAATAAAAGTGGCTTTTGTTAGTTATACTTTTCATCAATTCTTTGCTTCTAGATACAAGCTGTCAACAGAGGGTCTCAAATTCCTGAGTGCATGCAAATGTCTCTGTTTCAGCTAACAGGTAGAATACAAAGCTAACATTTTTGCCAACTTCTTTACACTGGCTCCAAAGTACGTACTATACAAGACAATATTTAGACTGACTGTGGAAGGAACTCGTACTCAGGTACTGAAGAAGTGTGTTTAGGCCTAGGAAAAAAATGTTGTGTTTCCTGTTTCCTGACCGACCCTAGAAAAAAATGCAGACCCTAGCCTTTTTTGGGGGTGGACTCCTGCAAGGGACATAAATTTTTCGAGCTGATCGACCTTTTCTAGCTCCATGACCTGACACGTGAGTGATGAAACATTGTACAGTTTGTTTCCGACATATAAGTGTCCTCATGCAAGTTTTACTTGGTTAAAGTGTATGTAAAGTTGGATCACAAGTTGGATCACTACAGATTGCCAAAGTCTAATAAAAAAAAGAAAGGAAAAAAGATAATCCCTACGTACTGACCCTAATTTTTTCAAGACTGAAACAGGAAACACAACTATTACATTTTTTTTAACCTAGGCAATGTTACAGGAAAACACACTTCTTATTTCATCTCTAAGTGATGAAGACCCACCTTTCCCGATGTTATGGCACCTTTGTAGTCAGTACCCATGGTCAGGTTCCAGGTGAAGTTTAACCGAGCGGCCAACATGTCGGTCATATCAAGCATAAAACCTTCGTAACGGTCACGCCCGGTCAGACCCTCCGCATTAGCGTGTTTCTTCTTTATGATAAAGGGTTTACTCTGAAAGGTGTGATAATAAAGGGTTAATGCCCCGCCCCGAGGTGTATATGGTGAGATAATCCCTGGTCAGGTGCGATAACCACTGAATAAACCACTAAGTGAGCGTAGCAAACAACAATACTGTTAGTGTCCTGTCCCCTGTACAATGGTATGGTCCAAAAAGTGGTCAGTTATTCTAATAATTGACCACTTTTGAGGTTACTGTCTTATTATTTATAACCCATGGAAAATGGAGCCTTCTGACTGGTCAACTTCTTCTGGCTATACGATAATATCATGTATAGATTCTATGCTATCTGTATAGGAAATACTGTAAATCACTGAACTTTTCACTGTACTTTTCACTTCTCTACTTTATCATTATCATGAAAAAATAATTTTCTGACTTTCTTTTGCTGCACCTGCCACAACACAACTGCGAACATTCCACTTTTCTTAGATGACAAACTTTTGCTACCATGAATATCAACATTTTCAGACTGTCCCATCTTACTGCTTCCAAACCCCTTCAATGCAAAAAAAAACAGCATTGTTTTGCAGTTTTGCAATTTTAATGTCTGAAAAAAAACTTGCCAGTCAGCTCAACTTAGTACAATCTGCATTTGCTTTTACTTCCTCCATTAAACGTTAAAAGCCTAGCACACTCCTAGCCATTTCTTACTCACCAGGTAACCGTAGACCTGAAGGTGCCGTCCTCCCAGAAGACTGTTCATCTCCACGTAACCAATGGTGGAGTTCATATCAACAGCGCCATCTGTCTTCCAGGACCCTACCTGCAAGTGCAATCCAAAACACGAATCATAGAATGAAAAAGAATTGTGACCTTTTGACACAGAAGAACAATAGAAAAACTAGAGAAGTAACATTTGCAAAGCAAATGTATAATGTTTATCTTCGGACATGGTCTGCTCTGTTAATTCTCACTCAAACACATTTACACTAGTAGTATATGGTGACAGGAGCAGAGCAGACCATGAAATTGCAACATTATGTAACCCAACACCAGTCACCATGGTGACAAGCGTCAACAAATCATGTCATTGCTCAGGTCAGAGGTCACTGTTTGGAGAAGAAGAAGAGGAAGAAACTGAGCAAAAACAATATGTTTCCTTTGGTAAACATTACTAGAAAGATAACATTTGCAAAGAAAATGCATATTATGTTTGCATATGGTCTGCTCTGTTACTCAAACACATTCATATATAATTATGGTGACAGGACTCACAGGAGTCTAAATCCCTCCTGCTATAAAATTGCAACATGATTACAGGTCATTGACCTTATTTATTTGGAGAAGAATAAAAAGAAACAGAGCAAAAGGAAAACATACAGATCTGACCCCACAATACACCACAGAACCATGTAGCAAAGTTCGAAAGGAAAAGGAATTGGAAGAGGTAATATAAAACTTTGTGTACAGATAGGTTAAAATGATCGAGAAGGTATGAAATCTTGTAGGTTTTCTTACCTCTTTTTCCATGCCATCGCTGTACTCGTGGATGTAGATGTTGACGTCAGTTCTCTTGCCACAGCCGTCAAACGACACATCCCCACTGGCACCACGAAACTTGACCTGAGAAGAAATATGCATGTAAGATTTTTTACCATGACAAATTTTTTTTTTAAATTCAACGGCTCTTGGTGGCAAATGTGTAGATGTTGTCACATTGGCATACCAAATCCATGGTGTGTTTTTGGCACACATTTAGACAGATTAGCCTACGAGGCTCGGTCTTCGTCACTCCACTGTACAGGTGTGGAAGTCATGTAAAGTGCCTTTCTGAAGGACAGAACATCGGACCACGGTGAGTATCAAACCCAGGACCCATTGGTTCCAAGAACAACGCTCTAACCGTTGTGCCACTGACCCCCACTCGAGACAAATTTAAAGATGTAAAAATGTCACAGAATTGACTGACTTCTTTTGTGCATCCACAGTATATTTCCTACACATTTTTCTTTATCAGACCTACCTCAGAACTTTGGTTTATCTGGCTGCAGTTTTCTTGTCCCTGCCAGGCTTCAAATGGTCTGGACGTTTTTTGCTCTTCCGAGGAGGATAGCAGATCTGCCAGGATGGACACTGAATCCCGGGCTAGAAGTGCCGCGTTGGACAACGGATCCCTGCACCGGTCCAGTCTGGTCAGGTTCTGTCCAGGTTTGCTGAAACCGAACCCGTCCAGTTCAGTCATGGATGTTTTTTCACCGGTTCGTCCCAAATCCAACCGGTTTGGTGTTCCATCTGGTACTGTTTGGTTCCGATGTGGTGTAGACCGGTTCCTGCCAGTCAGTGCCAGATCAGACGAGCCTGGGGTGGATTTGTCTGGAAACAGGCTAAGTAACGTGAAGCGGGCTCCACTGTGCCGAAAACTGTCCAGCTGTTTCTTATGGGCATCCTTTGAACAAGAAATTGCAATACAACTCTGTTAGTGTACATGTTAGTTAGGAAATCGATCAGATCAAGTACATACACAGTACCTTGTACTAATTTATTAAAAGATTTCTAAAAGAAGTAACATGCTATACTAAATCTCCAAATGGATTCCCAATCTTGCTTCACTTCTGTAGCTAATCCTTGCTACCTTTTTTTTTTAGTAAGATGTTGTATATTTGTAATGGGGATGCAATTTGAACAACTTGAATTACATGTACCAGCTCCTCTATTAATATCAATGTTTATACTCACAAAGTTGGTGATGATCCAGTGACTCTGTGACGTCAGCAGCATTCTGTGGAAAGCCTGAATAAACGAAGAAGAAATATCAAATAAATAAACAGAAGATGATGCAATACACAGAGGCCATATATCTTTTCTCATAATCAAAGGTCTTTCTTTTACAAAAGTTAATCTGATACGGATTAATCTGGTGCTAATTATCGGAAACTTTTGAGATTACAAAATGTATATGCCACATTTACTTTCTTGGGCCAATAAAAAGTTATAGCTGAAAGCTGTATCTTAGCCGTTGGATTTTTTGTATCAACGATACCTGTTCTAATATGGCGTCAATGACGTCATCATCTGTCATCATCACGATGTGGATCCGTCTGGAAGTTTGAACGTCAGACAAGATGGCGTCCACAGAGTCTCTGTCCGCCTGGGTGGCCACCCTGGCGGGAACTTCCCGGAACCACAGGTGCCACCGTCTTATTGTCACCATGTTCCCCATGGCTTCAAGACACCGATAGAACTCTGGGTATGACAGTACATGTAGATAATCTGTGTCAGGCATTTAATGTTTGCGCTTTGTTCTGCTGTTTGGGGGTGCCAAAGAATTTGTATGAATTTTATGGAATTCAAACGAATTTAAAGGAATCCATACAAATTTTATGGAATACGTATACGATTCATTACTCGGAAACATAAGATCCTTACTAATTTGTTGACCCAGGTGCAGGTCACCAAATCAGTAAGGATCGTATGTTTCCAAGTTATGGATCATATTAATTCCATAAAATTCATATTTTATGTTAACTTTCTGGTACTAGTAATGGATTGTATGTACTTCGTGAAATTTGTATGTTTCCTTGAGTTGTAATGGGTCGTATGTATTTTGTAAAATTTGTATGAATGCTGTAAATTCGTATGAAATCCATAAAATTCGTATGAATTCTTTGGCAGGCCTATTGTCTGTTGATGATCATCAGTTGACCTTGGCAGTTGGCATCAACCCCATCGCAAGGTTGTTATGGCATAAATCATACTTGTTGCATCATATTCATATCATACATGTACTTGCTATAATAGTATTATAAAATGCCATTTACCTGACCGCTTGTTGTACAGGACATAGGCTGACTTCCATCTGTAGGCCTCCATGACGTCAAACTACATGGTTGCCAGCTGCTCTGGGGATGGGAACATGTCCAGTACCCTCGGAGCGGAGAGCTGGTTCGGCCAAGCCTGTCTGGTAGGTGCGCACAGCCACTGGTGGCAGCCGTGGTCTGTCTGGTCCTCCGCAGAAACATGGGGGTGGGAGGGGGCCAGCAGAATCAGGGCTTGGAGAGGGTGCTGCTGTATAGCTGGAGTTGAAATGTGAAACGGGGCAGTCAAAAAAGGACACATAACCATATTAAAGCTGAGCCTACCGACAACTTCTGATGTAATGTTACATGTATGGCCCAAGTAAACAAACGTATGTCTTAAAGACCAGACAACATGAATTTCAGAGAACCCAGGCAAAAAAGGATGAAAAAACAAGAGGTTGCGTCACTAACTGCCCGCCCAATGGATCCTGGATCTTTTGGCCGAATCGGTTTGTGCACTGGTTGTGAGCTGACACACCGCACGAGCGGCGCGGGTTCGATCCCAGGTGTCAGAGTCAACCTTAATTGACTCGAGTTACTCCTTTCTCTTGTGTTACACTTCAAGTTCAACCCAAGTTACTGGAGTTTTACAATATAACCCTGCTGTACTTCCTAATAGAAGACCCATGTATCCCTAGATGTTCAATACATACTATGATGGCAATAATGACATGCAATATAACGCGTAAATTTCCCAGGTCGCGCAACCCGAATTCTTGCGGGAGACCCCGCCACTAGCCCCCGAGAAAATATTGCTCCCGACCCGGTGACGGTTTGGGCTTATTCGGTCAAAGGCGCGGTGCTACATGCCGAACCTTTGCACAGAATATGTTCATAGCTGCCTGTGCCACCCAACACTGCACAGAATTCACCATATTTGTTGTGTTTTCTTGCACTAGAATGAGAACTATGACTCCAGTTCAATATCTCTACTATCCACATTGGAGTTGCCTCGGCTGGATAAACATGGCGCTAGCGGAACTTTAAGCCGCTTTACGGCGTTTCAACAGTTGTGTGGCGCTTGTCCAAGGTTACGTCTGACGTCTAGAAAGTCTATAAACTACAAAGACAATACAATTTAACTTAACATTACCTTTATTGAGCAATAACTCCCTGTTTCTGTCCATGCATTGCAGGTCAGAACAACCCAATGGTCGCCATATTGTTGAACTTCTCGACAGCGTGACAAAAGCGCCGTTTAGCGGTATACAACATTATTGCAGGGTGAGACGGTGACAGCAAAATTGCTGCTGATAACTGATTGGTTAATTTAAAAAAACGATAGCCAATCAGACTGTCGATTCAATCTCCAGTAGCCAATTACTTTTCTTGTTTCTATGCACATTAGGATTGCCATAAAATAACTAATTGCATATTCTGATTGGTTATTGTTTTTTTAAAATTATAACCAATCAGTTATCAGCTGCAATTTTGTTCCTGTTGTTCTCAGTTATATATGTTACAAGTGTTTCATAGTCCTATTATCGAACGAAACAGATTTATAGAATTTCCTTGTTGATGCAAATCAGATCCTGTGTAATTTGATTATGTCAACAATCACTTAAGTTGCCTACATACCAAAACCGAGATCACGGTGGTCAAATCTGGGCTGCAAAGTTCCCACATTTCATAGAGCCCGAACTGTGTTCGATCGTGTTCGATCTGGGCAATTCGAATCGAACCCGCGTTCCATTTCGGGGTCACCTGCGGTCATTTACCATAAAGCGGCAAAACAAGCCCTTCTGCCTGAGTGCCTTGCAACAGATAAAAAACAACAATTTTCCATAGATACAAACAGTTTCCTGGACAGTACATGTCCGCTATCATTTTTGGTGGACATGTAACATATAGCGAAGCTATAGTCGTATCCTTGGGTGACCTTGAATACTGTAATGATTCTTTACACCTGTATGAATAACACAATGCACACTTTCGGGTGATATGACATGTCTGCAAAACTCGTTCAAACCTGGAAGCGTGGAGAGTCAAACATACCCCATTTACGGCTCAAAATGACCCTAACGGTTGTCCCGAAAATCGTGTTTTAGGGATTTTTAAAAAATGGCCTCAATTTTGAATTATGGGTATTTTAGTGAGAAAAATGTAAAAAAAATGCTATTTTTTCACCAATATGTTGACAAAAACTAGACTTAAAATCAGAAATTAAAAAATCCCTAAAACACGATTTTTGATCTTATTCCTAGTCGTCGAAAAATACAAAGATCGGGGATCTGGGGTAATACACGGGGCCAGGTTTGAACGAGGTATGCCTAAAAACATGACATAACGTGTGCTCGGAAACCCGAAAATAATCGTCTTTCTGAGCAAAATTTAACAAAATCAGTGATTTAACATAAAAAGCTAACATTAAAAGGATGTTAAGACGATAATTTCATTTCAATTTGACGAAACTTACCACTAAATACTATTTGTTTATTTTCAAATATTTTACGGGTAGTCCAAAACAGGCCAAAATAGCGTCTTGTAACCCGATACCTTTTAGAACGCGCCTAGCAATGGGAAAGAATGCCGTAGTGACAGACCGCCGTGGATCTTGAGTTATTCTCTCTCATCAAGACCTACCCACATGCCTTGCTATCTTCATGGCACTCGATTGACTTACCTTGGTCCAGTGCGCATGTGCTGTCGTTCGTTTCCACGGAAACTACAGAGATGACGGCGTCGCTATCCTGGCTGCCGTTCAGCTTCTGAGCGCTAGATGTCACTTCTGCAAGTTGGCATTCCTGGCTTCCTGTGTGTACTACTCCTACAGAAGCGTAAAAAATTCGCTTGTAATACTTCAAGGTGTCAAGAACAACAGCACAATCAAGATTACGATGCACTCTTTATCTTTAGGCCTTGTCAGATCTCTGTGGACGATCTAAACATGAATAATTAAGAAGGCGGCACATTTACGGGATGATTAAAAGTTAGTTAAGGCTGGATAACATCAGCCGGTTTGTCCTCGTGAATCACTGATGTGTTTTCCGTTAGACATTATCTCTGTGTATAAATCATCACTCAGGCGGAGGAGAGAAATCTTGTCCCGCCTTCATCACAAAATGTCGGGCAAAACTGACACCGACTTTCTACCGTCTGATTCATCTTTTGTGACCGAAAAACACAGGGGATCTTCTTCATTTAACAAAATCAAGAAAAACAGGAACATTCTTTTAGTATAATTTCTTAATGAATGACGTATTTCACACTGCGAAAAATACTAGTAATATAGAAGTGACTTAAAGCAAGTAGTCCTTGCTTGTTTTTTGTAGGTCATCTGCCAACATGGTGACTGGTGTTGGGTTACATAATGTTGCAATTTCATGGTCCGCTCTACTCCTGTCACCTACATGCATATGTCACTGCAAAATGTCGTACCCGAATAAGCCAAGAACAGTTGGCATTTGGGTTCAAAAACGATAGAAGCCAGGCTACTCAGACCAGTCGAAGACTAAATCTAAAGTCACGCATTCTCTCAACAACGAATTCTCCAGTAGCACTAGCGAATTAGTACTTTCCCGGTAATCTCCAAGCAGATGTTTCGGTGGCTGCAAAATACAGTATCAAATTGGGCAGGCAGTACCCAACAAATTTGGGTGGCAAATGAATACAGTCTGGCCAATACTGCATGGCCAATTTGATACTGTATTTTGCAGCCATCGAAACATCTGCTTGGCGATTACTGTATACTTTCTCTGGCCACCTTTGTATTACACAGACAAGCTGTCCTTCTACTGATGTACACAGGGATGACAACAGACACTGGGTGAGAAACTGTGTTAATGAGAAATAAGCACAACTATAACTCTGCTCCATCTCTTCACACATTAGAAACACTTAGGCAATTACACGTTTTTGTCGGCACTTCAGAGAGAGATAATCTTTATCTGATATGTGAAGATTTGTCCCACTCACAACATCGGCACTCTTCACTGAAAGATTAGCAATCTTGATTCTCAATGGTGTTTAAATGCTATATATTCATGACCCAATTCTTTGAAGAATGGCTGAAATGAAATTCAGTTTGCAAGTTCTAGTGTTATACTGAACTCAACAGGTAAAGACACTTGTAGCCATCTGACCTGTCATATTCTCTACATGGCATGAAATCAAAGATTCGGAAAACTACATGCGCGATGGCATTTTGAGAAAGAAATTGTTATACACGGGTATCAACAATTGTATAACGTCAAGTAACAGGGCCAGGCAAAATTTTGTACACCCTCTAACCTCTACTAAACAAAGTAAAGAGATGGGAAACCAAGCTAATTATAACTTTCATGTCCGATCGTTTTCCATGCTCGTCACAAATATCCACCCTTGCGCACCCCTAGTTATATATTCCAGAAATCGGACTCACCCACATAGATGTCTCTCGCGTTGCCATGGCAACAGAGGATCAGGAGCAGATACGTCACTGCGAAGAGACACGTCCTCATCTTTACACCTGGTACAGGTGGCACTGCTGAAGGTGAATTTCAAAGCTATGTGCGGTACTAGCGATGGTGTAGCTGCGCAGGTGTGTCAAGGATACGTCTCATATGTGGACGGTTTGAATGTGGAACAGTGACGCCGTCCTGGACAGGAAAACGTAGTTATAATGCTGATATATTCCATTTCAACAGTGTTATTGAATTTGCAAGCGGCACTAAGATGATTGAATCTCTCAGTAAACAAAGAGCGTGGCCTGATAAGAAAGACATCACTGGGTCGAGGAGGAAATGTTGCAAACAGAGTGATTGAATCGGCATGCGCACGGTGAAAAGGACTGGGACTCCTTACGTTTGGACAAGATAGTTTCAAAGGACAAAGATCTGACAGAGGGAAGTACTTCGATGAAGTACATATAGACAGGTACCGGTAGAAAAATACATAATCACGAAATGCTGAGAATTTATCCAATTGCTTATTTATTTTGCTTAGCGTCACACTCATTGCAATGGCCCATTGGCTATATAATGCCGTTTACAGAACGAATGAATCAGCTAAAACAGTCACACAGCTAACACGTTAACCTGAATAATACCACTGTACAAAAACGTATATATCATTCACAATATGGACATCTATATTTGAAAACAAATACTACAAATGTCTTAACGTCAACACCTAACCAGCAGTACTCAGTGGGAAACGCAAGATACACCCGTATGAAGTACACATTGTAGCTGAGGCCCAAGCAGTGACGCCGTAATGCAGAAATAGAATTCTTAAAACACTGAGTCTGAGTAGAATGTAAGACTAAAGATTACAAAACTTACAACCTTGCGTAGGGTAGCCAGAATTCGTACAAAGACGGTGTTTTAGAATGAAGGTTGGTCTACGTGACTGGTTATGAAATACGTCACATCAACTTCGTATTCAGTGGATGTCGGATAGTCGCCAAACCCGCATGCAGTGAACGTTGGCAATTATAATCGCATAATTCGTTTTCCTTGATGAGAGTGTGGGGGTGGGGGGCAGTCACTAGCCAGACCAGTGAAGCCAATAGAGCCAATGTATCAAATCTTTGAAGATTTTTGTGGATCTATGGAAACTTCTGGCACGTACTACGGAACAACTGTAACCGGTGTCTTCTTCATATTTTAGCGTTTAGCCAGACTAGTAAACGGAGTGTCTGCGCTGACTGCAGGACAACGGAATGGGCTTTCTGTCCACGCACGTTTTCTATAGCTAACCGCAACCCTTTCCCAATTCAATTCGGCTGCTTCTTCGTCTGCCATTATCTTGGACATCCATCTATGATTTATGAAACGTGTTACGTGAGAGTGTCACTCCTGGTATAAAGCAGTACAATTGAATGGTGAAACAGACTTTCTTATGCTAAGATCACATTTCTAAACCGGGGCCCGGCCGGGCAGTCTTATGGAACCAAAAAAACAACAACAACAAAGCACACAGAAGTTGAAAAAAATTAATAATGGGTACTTTTTGCGTATATAGTTGACATAAATTGTTGATTTTTCGTTCATGGAAACAGCCCGGCCGGGCCCCCACTTTGTGAAAAATCAAAATAAACAAATAGACAAAATGTGACCTCTGCATATGAAAGTAGATTGGGTATTGAAAGTTTTCACGCAGATCATACAGCAAGAAAAGACAGCCGTTTTGACCACAATATTGGATATAAGGTCCTGCATTTGTAAGGTACATGCCTGGTACAACGCAAAAAAGATCAGTAGATCTGAGATATACTCTGGATTAATAAGTAAACTTGAAACTTAAATCGGAAACAGTTTTGTGCTAAGGCAACTCTGGCATATCTAGCTTACGTCGCAAGCCAGTAACGTAAGCACGCAAGAACATCCTACTTACTAATAGATAAAGGGTCCCATATATAGCCTTGAACCAGTTCCGGCCGAAGAATCTCAAAGGACCGAAGGATTCCAAGGGGCTTAAATCTTATCAAGCTTGAATTAGCCGTAACGTCGGACGCATCTTAAAATCACTCTGCCGCCACAGTCTTCAGTTCCAGCTGCGATGTACGTCAGTTATCATGAATTCGTCAGCTATCTAAGAACTCAAAATGGGGCGACGCTACAACGACCAAAGCTATGGTAATAGAACAAGAACTTACCGATAACTGGAACGGTGCGGTCCGGTATTCCCTTTTGAATGACTCCTAAGCTGTCCAGTTACTGACACCGAAGAACAGCCGAGTGTTGGAAAGACAAAATCTGTGTTGTCTGTTGTCCTTGGTGTTGATCGGATGCTTCTTCATTAGTCCTCAGATGTGAGATGTCCAGCGCTGATTGTGGCCGCGCCTGCGTCTTCCTTATTTAATCCCCGCTATTTAATTACCTCCAATTAGTGGGCTTCTCGGAAAGTGGTACACTTGCCCTACCCTCACTGTCACGGTGGCTTGTTCTCCTGTGTCTGGACTATGTCACTTCTGCACATCGCTTTTCCGGCGTTTTACTACCATGTTTAACTGTCAGGGAATATCCTATTCTAGATTGAATATTCTCTGGGCACCTAAACATGGGCATGGCACTGTAGGCAGACCTACATACATCAACTGTGTGAGGATGCGGGTTGCAGACCGGAAGACCTGACCATGCAGTGCTATGGAGGATAGAGAGGGCTGGTGGAAAAGGGTCACGAGCATCCTTGAAACTCTCACGACAAGATGAGATGATGATGATGAGATCAAAATACATTGTTGAGTAGATAAGCATTACATAGTACTAGTAGTTCTCTATGGATGCCTGTTGACATATCAGTAATAGGACAGTAAATCTTTCCAACACAAGTTTATGACAGCTCGGCGTACTTTCAACTGACAGGCATGACAATAAAGGAGATTATTGTATATTTTGATGGATAGAAAGTACGGTAATTGTATGAGCATGAAAATTAAAACTGATTATTTGTTGCCATTCATTGGCTCTCAGTATGACAGTAGAAACAACCGCTGGTATGATTAGCCTCTATCGGGCTTCGGGAGACGACTGGAAAGAGTAGAAAGCGGCCAAAAAGAGTTGGTCCGCTATAGAGAGTACATTTTGCCGAACACCGGATGCGGCAAAATATATTCTCTAGCGGACCAACTCCCTCAGCATGTCATCTCTCTATTTGGCCGATTTCTACTCTTTCCAGCGCTAGCCGTCTCCTGAAGCCTGGTTGAGGCTATGTATGATGACTAGAGATACGGACCGTACGGACAACCCATGCACGATGTGTGCTGGTGCTGCTCCGCAATCTGCAATCTACCTAATCGGAGATCTGATTACCGTTTACTTTAGAGCTATTAGCCCCAGTTTATTATGAATAATCTCCATTGAACAACCATAGACCGCACCGGGCTTGAATGGGGACTGGTTTATGTACATTATTTATCAGGTATCAGGAGAAGATGCGTTGCATTCGGAGTTACATGAGGCAAACCAGGAAAAGTGCGAGCTCATCGTGTG